TCACCACCTGTCGCATGCCCGAGAGTTCGTAGCTTGAGCAACTTGAATGTAGCCACTTCAGCGATTACTTGGAAATCACTACACCACAGCTGTCAAGGCCAACCACATAATTAAAGTGCTAGGATATATATAATAATGTCCCCTAAATACAGCGCTACACCATAGATCGCAAAGCCTGGGATGAACCGACAGTGATAATTAAGTGCTCCAAGAAATGACTATACCTCTCGCTTAGTTGTTGGGAATGAAAGCTCGGTGATGGCTGCAAGCTACTTTAGGTCAGCCTTTATACCTTCCGGTGAAATCTCATGGGACAGGAAGTCCAACTTCGGCCAAGAGAAAGTGCTCTTGGTAAAGCTGATATTAATCCAACAGTCAGTCAATCGAGTTAAGAGTCGGTCCAGCGTCGCCAAGCACTATCGAAATCCTCACCATCGAGGCAAATGTCATCTAAAAAAGACCGTCGACCAAATACAGGCACCTATGATGATTTATTGGCCTCCCGTTATTGAACATGTCGGTGATGGGACTGCTAATCAGTTATAACACTGAGCTTTTTCACCGATGCCTCACGGTCCGTTGTGACTTGTGCCGTCAATACTGGTCGCACGACGCTCCAAGGCCTTTTTTGTTTACCTGTTTGCACTAGCACCACGTATTCATACAACCCTTCTTTATGTTGGACAAAGTCCACAACGCATAGTCAATAAGACGTTGATATACCATATGAGCACTGGTCAACCCAAAGGGCATGCTCAACAACTCAAGGTGCAAAGATTGCGCCACTATCAGTGGTTTCGCGGGCGTTGAAATAAAGCTTAAAGGCTTTGTGCATTCGTTCGGCTCAAGTGCGTTTCATGATAATTGTTCTCTTTAAATCAAGCCACTACTGAAAGCGTAAACTCAAAACGCTACAATCGCTAATTTTCAACAATTAGTGTGTCAGGGTACAGAACAAGCATTCCCATTTCATTTCAAAATTTCTTTGACATTTTGATATTGTGGAAGTTATCGAATTTCATTTCAAAGAGTTGCTAAATACCGGATTCATTTTGGTATTATTTTAATTGAACGGACGTACTTCGACTTTTCCCATTTTTAAAATAATTCTTAAAAGTAAAAAAAAGAAGCTTTAGTTTAGTACCCGGTCCTGGTAAATAGTATATCCGGGAATTCCTGGTGGAATGAAGTAGACACCAGCACCAGTAGTAACTGTAAAAGTAAGTTACAGATCACATTAATAACACGACCTGTAAGTCTCATTATTTTGGATTCTGACGGTATTGCTTGTTCATGATTCCAAAACTTGTAGACATGCTAAAAAAACAAAAAAAAAACAAAGAAGAAGCTACGACGTGAGGAGCAGGCCTTCCGAATTATAAAAATGTTACTGGAATATTGTACAGAATTATGATTTTTTCAGAAAGCAAAAAAAAACGTAACTTACGTTTAGCTCCGCAAACGCCACCGTAAATTACGGCTGGAGTGAGAAACATTTTTTTGCTCGGATCCTTATTAAAAGAAACCACATGAGGTTTTATTGTGCAGCTGGCACATCACTCGCGCTGCCATCCCTCCCCATTCACCCTCTCGTTGCATTCCAAACGGATTCAAGAATTCCAGTAGGTGCAAGTTATTCTGAGACAGCAGCAGAGGTGCGGCACAGCCCAAGTCATGGTATTGACACTTTGTTACAGGTATTAAGGGTAGAAGAGGCTTTCAAGACATTGCTCCTGCCCAACAATATTAAAGCTTTAAGCAGGCACTTCAGAGACTTTTGCAGCTGAGGAGACCATTCCATTCCAGCTGAAGGACTTTGACATGGCCAAGGAGGAGATGAGCACGATGTGCGCATTTCATATTATACTCTTTAGATGTTAAACTGAAGTAAAACCAATTTCACGAGGAAGTATCACCACTTATTTTAGTTGAAACATTAGTAAATTGTTTTTTATTCCTTAAGGTAATCATTTCGTGGTCAACGGGGGCATTTTGCTTCCTTTCATTATACTTTGTGTGTGGGCGAGGTGAAATCGCCCTTTCTACTTGAACTACAAGGATTTGCAGAACATTTGGTGTAGTACCCTGGTTTATGAAAGGGAGCAAAATGCCCCCTTTGACGGCCTAATGACTTGACCTTCTATAGTAAATATAGTCAGGTCAAAAGCGCCCGTTCACGAAAGGGTTAAGTTCCAGCAAATTTTATTATTGATTGCTGTGTTGCTGCTAAGCGTAAAAAAATCTATCTCAGCCTACGCAAAGACCTACTGTATCTAAATTAACCCTATCACCACCAAATTGTTATAGGCTCAATCCGACCCTTTATTATCCTTGGTAAACGCATCCTATTGGCCAAAAAATTACTAGCATTTGATCAATACTTTTGATACAGACTAAAAATGACCTGTAAGACGGGCAAAACCACATTAAAAGACAAAATAAAATTCCTTCTCTTGCGAAATCGAACGCAACTGATAACGTGCCATGTTAGGCGAACGAGGGCGGCTTTTCCTGCTAAGATCCACAACATTCTATGCAAGGGCTGCATTGGCGACGTTTGGCGTGGATGTGGATGCTGTGGCGTTGTGTGTGCTGCTGTCGGCGTTGAACGAGGACGGCTTGTCCTGCTCAGATCTACAACATTCGTGTGGCTC